GGGGGGGGGGGGGTTAACACATGTAAATCGGCACGCACGCACACTTGCTCACAAACATTATGTCTAAAAATGATTTATCTTTAAACAACATTTTCTGTTCGGTTTAAATTAAGCGTACAATATGTTCTGTTTACTTAACACGAAGCCTCGTTAACGAAAAATTAACCTAAATTGGTCAACGTTTTCAAAATGCTTCCTGGACTGTAATGAGGGAAGAATTCTGCTTCATTAACTTTGATGGAAAACTAACTCATAAATTTGGACAATTTTCGTTTCATTACTGCATTTCAGTATTAAAAAGAATGGCATCATCGACAAACAATTAATTATTTGAAGATTTAAACCAATCCGTGTAAAAAAAAAAAAAAAAAAAAAAAAAAAAAAAAAAAAATAAAAAAAAAAAATGAAATGCTGAAATAAGAGAAAGATTTATTAAAAGGTAAGTTGTATTTTTAGATTATATTTCATCACTCATTTTACCAGAAAACAATGAACTCTAAGCAGCACAGCATCCTTATAAATAGCTAAATAACAGGAGCGAGGGCCGAATATATTTGTAATTATATCAACAAACATAAAAATAGAATTTTAAATAAAAATCAGTTGCTTTCATGTGATTGTTTGATTCGTATTTTGGCAAATCCTGGCTTTACAGCTTGTCATACAGTGTATATAAAAATGTACGATATTTTTGGAGAGCTTTATAAAACCCTACAAATAATACTAACGAAATCGATAATGAAATTGATAAAGTGAAAACCGAATCAATTTCTCATAAATGTCCCGCAAGGTGTGGTCTTCTTTTCAGAAATGTAGGTAAAGAAGTGTTTCCAAAACTTTGTCAGAGTTTTTGGCAGTGGTAACGGAATCAATAACCTATAGGTCAGTAAAACACTTTCTAATTCAAAATTTAAAAAACGATTTCGATGTTTAGATTTATTACGTTTTGACCAAAACTTAAATATCAAACATCTTAAAACCGTTTTTATGGAACTGCTTAGAATTTATTTTTATTTTATAGACACCAATACATATTTATATACATATAAACAGACTTATTTCTTATTCCTATGTAAGCTTTATGGAAGTGGAGGCTCCCCAAATTTTAATTATCAGATTCTGTGGATAAAAGATGAAAATGAAAACAGATTTTTAAATATGTAATGTTTGATATGAATTAAAAAATATATTTATTTATACAAATTAAAAATCTAAATGCACATTAAAAACCCGTTTAACGAAACACATCTGGAAAGAAACATACGTGACAACATACGTAGCGGTGGTCTGTGGGTATAAAACGTTTCATTATTGCAGTTCATGGAAAGATAAAAAAACAAATTACGAAAGTGAACGGTCATAATACAGACAAACTAAGAGATATTTAACGCCATGACCGAACAGATAAACACTTAGATACCAAGGACATAAACGACTTTGTATGCGGCCCATTACCATCTTTACAGAGAAGTAGGGTGTGTCTCCGCCCTAACTTTTAAAAAGTTTAAACATATTTTATTGCCGAAATAGTGACAACAGGATTGGGCACAAGTTATTACAACATTATTTACGCCCTTTTCTCAAATATATACATCAGATTTACAGACATGGCATAACTGGGTATCAAATAATATGTATAATAGTAGCATTACAACAACAGAAACAAAAAGAGAAAGAAAAAGAAAAAGAGAAAGAACAACATTGAACAGTCTCCCAAATTGAGTATAGAAATATAAAACGCCTTACGAATTAAAACCTACCGCTGGTCTTTATGAATTTTTGCACGTTACGAAAAATATCATTATTTTGTTTAGAAGACAGATCCGGAATACCAGATAACAATATATCTAAGGAGATTTCATTAACAAAATTTAGATTTTGAAACAATTCAAACCTCTGGTGTGTATAAACTGGACATTCAAAAAAGAAATGATAGGCGTTTTCACATGGAGATCCACAGTCACAGGCGGGACTATCTACGATGTTGACTCAAAATAAATCATAATTTAGGGAACTGCAGTTGTACCTTAATTTAGTGTGAATGATATTTAGTTTTCGTTCACCATAACCAAAATAACTGGGCGTCTTGGTGTTCGATTCTCGAGAGATGGCTTTTTTGAATCTTCCTAAAGTGACCGATGATCTTTTAGCAGTATCTAAATTGTTCCAAGAGCGAAGCGTAGAAGGTAAGAAGGATGAATTTGTACTAGAAAGTCTGAAATTTGGTATTACAAAGTCATTACTGTTTCTTAAAGGATATCTGACATTTTGGTTTACTGTATTGGGTAGAATTTTGTTTAAGAATGCAGGGGTGATACCATTTTTCATTTTGTACAATAACTGCAGTTTCCTTCTTTTTCTCCTGTCTGAGAGTCTTTCTAACCCCGATTCAAAATAGAGAGCATAATTATTAGCATAGGAAGGAAGACCAGTAATGATACGTGCGGCTTCACGTTGACATTTTTCTAACCTCTCACTTTCATTAATTTTACATCCGTCCCATAATTCACAACAGTAATCAAAAATTGGCAAAATAAAAGAGTTATATATTTCCAACAAAGTTTCTCTTTTAAGAATATGTTTCAGACTTCTAAGAACATTTATTTTCTTCATAACGGAGGTATAAATAGCTAAAATATTATAACTAAGGATCCACTCCTGTTCTTTTGAGGTTTATGGGGGTGTAACTGGCAACAGACCTTGAAACAAATTTAGTACCTTAGTACTGTGCAAGTATGGACGTTTGAAAATGTGTTGAACGTATTCAACTTGTCCAGTCTCATGGCGTAACCAAATTATATTCCATTAAGTCTTTCCTTCTAAAATGAAGATTTTTTCGCTTTATTCGCTACTTTCCGCCACCCCTTTTTAACCATCTTGTGCCCCTCCCCTTTATTTCCTTTCCGTATTAATGCACCAACAGTCAACGCCGTCATATCGATACTTCATGATGGCAAAGAGACGGATTTATATAAATACCCTGTTGTTGTTTTTCGAATTCGTGTTTTATGGTTATTTAAATAGATTTTTTTCTATTTTAATAGAAGCACTTCATAAAAGTGAAGGGTATCGCTATTTCAGTTATGATAGAAAAGAAGAGTTCCACTGACGTGGAGTGTTCTCCCTTCTTTAAAGTATACGAAGCAACAAAAACGGGTTTTTTCAACGGAAGTTATATCAAAAACGAAATCAAGAGGAGGCTATTGTATTTACGAAAAAAAAGTGCAGTGGCACAAGGATCCTTAAATAAATAGAACTTGTAGTACAACAAATATGTATACAATAATATATAATATAATGTTGTTGTTGCTACTTTTTTGTGATGAATGTGCCAGTTATATGTAATTATATGTTGTACTTATATGAAATTATTTGTTGAAAATCCAATTAGTTGTAAAACTTACGGAAATAAATTGAATTGAATTGAACTTCCAATTTTAGAACATGTTAAAGGAACATGTGTTTACAGACAATATATCCAATATGTTTTACTTTTTTTTCTCTTAATGAAGTTATAACTTTTCTAATGCTGAATTTATGGACGTTCGGAAAACCTTTTGATATATCATAAAACCAATATTGTACGCGTCCCCAATCTTACAATATGAAACCGTGGACATTTTTGCGGAATACATAATTTGAGACGTACATCAACTAAAATATTCTAAATACGGGGGATTGCCATTAAATTGCACTTTTAAAACATATTTTCATATATTCTTCAACAGGTTAGATATCAAGAAAAGCTGTAAATTTTCCTTCACATATAACTGTTATGAATTTGATCAATTTGTAGTCATGTATGGTCATTCTGTTTTGGAAAAAAGTATAGACCATTAAACTTTTTTTATTATTATTATTATTATTATTAAATGCGTAACGGTCCATCAACACAGGATAGGTCAATAGGGCCAGCAAATAGTTTGTTTCCTGTAACATTTGAAAACAATATGGTAAGAAGGTACGCTACGAATTTTATATTTATTTTTTTATGCAATTTCTATAGAAGAATGATCTTGACTTTAACAGTGCTCCTTTGAAAATTGCCTAAAAACGTTTCGGATAGGCTTAACAAATTAGGGTTACTGGAAACACCAAATATTTTATGTTTGTTTGGCTCAAAGTAAAATGATTAAACTTATTCACATACCTGCCCTGTTTGGTAATAATCATCTCGGTGGTATGGGCGTGGAATTTGGTCCAGAGTTCCCTGTTACATAAATAGACGCTAACTTTCTCTCCTTCTTGAGACTGACCACTGGGCGCCATCGTCATCCCGGGGGGCGAGCCGATCAGATGGCACGGGGTATGCGCGATGGGCTGTGGTTGGGAGGGAGGACTGCCGCCGTATCCCCCGGGATACGACTGACTGGGATGGGGCAGCGTCTCAACTTCTTCGTAACCATGGTGATAGTTTGGATACTGTTGAATCTGTTCTGCGTGAACCGGTAACATATGTCCGGAAGTATCACCCGAATATTCCTGGTACTGACCCGGAAACGGATGCTGAAAGTTTCCCTGCATAGCACTGATGCTGGCGGGTTGCAGATATGCGTAACTGCTCCCACTGGCTATTTCGGTAGGAGTCCGGGGAGATGGCATTTGTCGACTTCTCGGGGAAGAATTTTCAGAGGTACTCTGGGAATCTTCCTCAACTTCATCTCGGGAATTTATTTTTGGAGATGACTCCGCTTCAAGTAAGATTCGGGACGGATGTTGAGACTCCGAATTCGTATACGGGTAACCACAGTAGTATGACTTCATACTATTAGATGTTCCCGTATCATATTGGCTGTGTTGGTCCGGAATTTCCCCGATAGGTCGTAAAATTCTGTTTTCATTTTGGGATGGATAAATTGTTGCGGCCGAATTCTGGCGTCTATTCTCGTCAAATTGCTGCTGATAAATAGCGTTTTCCGTCATCTGGAAGTGAGGTGTAGGTGACAACTAGTGTTGACACTTTTCTGTGTTCTCCTATTGTTACAAAAAATGTAAGCAAGTGTAAATTTGTTTCTCTCGTGTCACTATTATTACCACTTGTTAAATACAGTTCACAAGTAATCTCTCTGCTTCTCACTTCCCGTCAATAGTGTATACGTACCTCACACAACTGGAACCGGTACCCTCGGCGCACTCATTATCTTATATCCAGCGTCGATGATATATTACTAACCCGGTTTATTTAAAGACTTGTGATAAGTACCGTTTTAACAGTTCTCGAAAGTTTGACTGATCCTCCGCTGCAAGTACACCTTTATAAGATAATATACCTACATCGACGTTGTCGTCCGTATTCTTTTTGTGATAGATGATTGAACGAGGGACTCCACGGTTGACAATGCCAATTACGCGAGCGACCGTACGCTGCCATTGTCTCATTATTGCATGTCACCGAAGACCACCTCATACGAAGCTTTTCATTGGCTAATTTTAAAACATCGTGGGTAGCTTTCGGTTAGACATGAACTCAGGTGCGGTTGTGACACGGGTTTACAGAATGCGTGAACAACACTATCCTATATTACCGTTATAGAAACCTTCGATCGACTATAGGCATGGAAGGAATCCCGGGGGTCGATTATATATATCGGAGATGTCAGTCGTTTGACAGAACACTTTTATGGACAGCTCTTAAAAAATAATTAGATGGCATCTTGCTTACTTATCACAATAACTAAAAACAATGTTAGTCAACATATCGATAAAATTTAGGATTTTTTTCTCATGTTAAAACGATAACACATTCACCTCCGTCTGTTATATATATTATACTTAAGATTCTGATATCGTAAGCTGAATATTTTGTACATAAAACTTAATTATGACCTCTTTAAATTTAGAGCGCAGCTTGCTGTTGTGGACATCGACGTGAAACTGTTTTCCATTCATTTTTAGAATGTCAAAATGCAAAATTTCAATACTTCAAATCTGGACTTAGATCTTAAATTAATCAATTTGGAAATTTACATCTTACTTAATACAAAAAATTGTTAGATAAACGATCATTGATTTTGGATTCATATATGAAAATCATCAAATACAGTAATATATTTAAAAAACAAAAATTGTATCAATTTAATAATATACATGTTTACACAGTTACCGTGACATTTTAACAGTATGTTGGTAGAAAGCGTTAATGAGTTGTTACAACTTACATTAATTGTGCCTAATCTCTTGACTATGCATGACAATAAATGTTTAAACTAAAATTACTAAGAACAACACTAGTCAACATATGGTTTACATTTATGCTGTTTTATAAATGCGATTAACCGCTAATCATTTTGTTGAATATTGTGTTAGTTTTTATAAATATTTTTTTGATAGTATTCCTTTTTTATGTCACCCTGGTAAAATACTAGTCAGATTCATATTGTTTTATTCTTGACTTTAACAGTGCTCGAGAGAAGACATACAAATAGTACAGTATATTACAAATTTACAATGATACATGTGTACAATAATATTCATTAATCGTGCAGTACTTCAAAATGACATATAATAAGAGACAGCATTTTACACTGCAATACACCAACATCGTAAGGTTCCGATACAGTGCAAGCATAACAATAGTATAACTTTCAATGACGTACGTTACAGGTAATGATAACTGGATTAATATAGTTACATACATTGTATCGCACATATGTCACGAATAAATACTCTCTAGTAGAACAGTAAAAAAAAAAAAAACCAATAAAAAACACTGCCATAGTGTAATAAATACGATGTTAGTGACAGTGATATTACGATATAGAAAATACTCGTCGATGTTTCGAAGTTGTTAATTATGATTAATTTACCATATAATTTATTTCACATAGGAAAGGAAATGAACGGGCACAATCACCTTTTTTTTACACTATATACACATAATACAAATATCTTATCAAATATGGTATACTGAAATGAACATTTACAGGAAAAATGAGATAAAATATTATACAGTGTTATTACGACGTTTTAAACTTAAAAACAGGAATTTTCCTAATTTATTTAATTCCTTAATGTTTTGAGTAGTAAATAACTGTATCAATTTGAAAACACTTGGTCGCTGCCTACCGACTCGGAAAGGGAGAATTTCTCTTTAGGTTATTCGTTAGAGCTTATCAGGCTAGTAACCCAGAGGTCCCGGGTTCGACTCCTAGCGGAAGCATTGAAAAACATAATGAGCTCTCTTACATTGGCGACCAACGTGGGGCAGTGCTCCATTTAAGGTAATAGGATTGTGTCACTATTTCTCAGTAGAATTTCCTCAAATTTTCTAGTTATATTGCTTTGAAGTAAAGAAAATTTTCTGCCACAAATAAAGAACAGGTTGTCAGAATTTTAAGGATTTTAAAATGGAAATGTAGGTAAAAATGAGTGAATTTTGTAAACAAATGAAAGACACAATTTTTGGCAAAATAATGTCAATACAAATTATTGTGACATAGAATAGTATTGCATTAATGTATATCAATTTGATAAATGCTTAAATTGTGTAAAATTAATTATCTATAAACGATTAAAGATTGATATTTTATAATAAAACCATATACCCATAAAAATTGCATGTAAGAGTTATCTTTCTTGAAAAACTTCACAGTAATGAAATATAAGTAGCCGGTTTCCTGAAGTGCAGAAAAATGGACACATGCGACTCATTGATAAAAAACCCACTTGAATTAATGCCTGGATTGCTTTGAAAGACTTTAATATTGAGAGAACACACTGTCGCATCAATAATAAACATACAATATTCATCAGTTTAATATTAAACATTAGAATATGTGGAAATTGTGATACTTTCTCAAAACATTGGATTTGCAACTAGGGATGTACTTCCTATTTCCGTTTATCAATACACTCCTTCGACCTTAACAAAATGTTCAAGCTGTGTCGATACGAACCAGACGATCAGCTAAATGGAATGCGACGTTCCGCATAAACGAACCGCTTCGTTCGGAACGTCTCATTTGAGGTAACAAGTTAGATCCAATATGGCGGCCAGCTGAAAGTTTTCATTTCAGATTTTCACCAAATTTTACATTGGGATAAGATCAACAGTTTTAACTGTATTCAATCAGTGAGTCTGAAATATTTTTACCGACTTCAAGTGACGTCACAATATGTACAACTTTTACATTGAAGGATTTCATATTTTTTATAACGCCGGCGCCGTTCATTTCAACAGACCAGTTCCAAGTTAGCACATCTGGAACATTACGCTAAATGGAACGTACTATAATTTTTTTGTTTTTAATTATATTTTTATTCAGTTTTTCAAAGCACATACACATGACAATATTTGGGTGACTATAACATACTTCACAGTACTCTCATCCTAAACATTCCATACACATTTCATGTTAACCATACTCATTTCATATACCCAGTTTTCTAAGTATAAGGTCTGTAGAGAATATTAATCGGACTTACTGATCGTGTGTACTATCATGATCATAACAGAGCATGCTAATTTATGACATATTTTTTTCAAATATTTCATATATACTCATACACACCATTGATCTGCATAGAACATGCATATCAAATACTGTATTTCATACACCTGTAAAGAACAGTTATATAAAAAATCATACACATCATACATCCGTATAGAAACACTTATATTAAACATTTCATACACACCATGCATTTGTACAGAAACATTCATACAACAGTATGGAACATTTATCTTAAATATTTCTTACATGCCATACATCTGTATAGAAACATTCATATCAAACATTTCATACACACCATACATATGTATAGAAAATTCTTATTAAACATTTCATTAACACCATACATCCTTATAGAAACATTCATATCAAACATTTCATACACACCATACAACTGTATGTTACATTCATATTAAACATTGCATACACACCATGCATTTGTGCAGAAACATTCATACAACAGCATGGTACATTTATCTTAAATATTTCTTACATGCCATACATCTGTATAGAAACATTCATATCAAACATTTCATACACACCATACATATGTATAGAAAATTCTTATTAAACATTTCATTAACACCATACATCCTTATAGAAACATTCATATCAAACATTTCATACACACCATACAACTGTATGTTACATTCATATTAAACATTGCATACACACCATGCATTTGTGCAGAAACATTCATACAACAGCATGGTACATTTATCTTAAATATTTCATACATGCCATACATCTGTATAGAAACATTCATATCAAACATTTCATACACTCCATACATTTGTATAGAAACATTCTTATTAAACATTTCATATACACCATACATCTGTATAGAGACATTCATATCAAACATTTCATACACTCCATACATCTGTATAGAAACATTCATAATTTCATTTACACCAGTTCTGTACAAAATATTCAT